CTCTTTCAAAATTCAGTTAGAAAAAAGCAGCGGCTATTGGGCTACATTCCCCCCCACTCCCCACAGAATTGTCTAAGAATTGACAGGTCAGGCTTTGGGGAATTTTAAATAATTCTAATTTTTAGAGGCTATGGGTGAATTCCTGTCCTGAATGAAGTAAATGGCATAACTCTCTTTTGTCATCAGGACGGCGAGGCTTACACTCCTTTTTGCATCCAGCGTGTAATAGACAAGTGTATTTGTACATACACACACACAGACCCTCTTTTACACTATTTATATTTAGGTGTACGTTTACATTTTGGGAGACAAAAAAAAACCCTGAGCACCTAAATGTAGCATGGAGTTTTGTGAATTTTGGAAGCAACTCCAGAAATGAGAGCTTTAAACTAGAGGTCAAATGTTAACTAATAGTCTCATTTCAGTGACCACTCAGAACAGTCGGTGGTCACACCAACCAGAAAGTCGGCCAGAGGAAGCAGAAGCAACCTACTTCAACCACCAGAGTAGCATCACCAGGAGTGCGGAGAACAGACCTTCCTCCCAAGTAGCCTTCCCTGAACAAACTCAGAACTCGGTGGGAAAAAGTGTAAATATCCCTCATTCGGGCAATACAAGGGCTGGTTGTACCTTACTTCTTCATCCATTGTTTTCAACCCTAAAGCACAGAATTTAGACTAAAAGGTGTTAAGATAGGTTTTAAGCTGGTCCTCAATGCAGAATATTAATTCTCTGGTAAAACTAAAACATCAACCTTTAAAATAAAAGCAGAGTTGAAGAAGCCATCTAACAGACACAGCCTTTTACATCTGCTGCTTAAAACCACATGTGACTTCATAGCTAAAATATAGATTGATACAACCGTAACAGCTAAAATAGTTACAGATTTTATTGACATCGTAGACTATGGGACAGCTTAAGCAACATGTAAGCAAGGCAGACCAACTGCCCAAGACAGAAATAATAAATGAAGACTAGTAACATTCACCTCAGTAACTTGTAAATATTGCATC